TATCCGATGTAAAATTCACTTGCGAACCGGTCATCTGCATATCAAAATAAACCTTACATTACACATGGCGGCGGATTAACGAAAATTTATTATTAAAAAAAATTGTGACAACACACAAATGTAAATACCACTTAACATAGCATTTGCTGTAAAAAGATCTGCCAGAGATCCGATCAGCTTAAGGTAGAATAAGAAAAAGTAACAAATCTCCCTGAGGAGGAAAATAATTTCTTACGTCTGTAAATAAGGTAACAGCTCAAATGCAATAACATTCTATTACAAAGATTATCAATTTGACCGCAATACGACACGATCGACAGTGAACATTTCTTGTGTATATCACAAGCGGAAATAGATAGAAAACTGTCGATGGAAGCATGGACTGGGTTAAATACAGCCCGATCTGTTTAATGTGGCACCTTAAGTGTAAACTACATTTCTAACGATACAATATTCATTCTGGAAAATTGATGCAGGAGGAGCAGGCTGGAGGAGCATGTACTTGTTGCGTGGTCATCATGTCGTTTAATACGGTTTGTTGTTGTGGCTGTTGGCCGGTGACGACCACAGCACCGGGTGTACGATAAAGATAGTACAAGCAACAAGCACAGCAGCAGCAGAATACGATTGAAATGATGATGGCGAAGAAGATAGTCGTGTCGATAATAGCGACTGAAATAGCTGCGTCGCTCCAACCATAGTATAAGGAACAAACTCTCCCACAACAATCCTTCCCAATGTCACATTAGTCGTTGGACGAATAATAACAAGACGAACTATTAATGCATTTCCCATTTCAGCATTTCTTGCTCCATCCACATTGGTAGTCGTATGTGCAGGAACAAGAAGACGAACTACTGATGCATTTGCTATTACAGCATTTCTTGCTCCATCCACATTGGTACTCGTGCGAACAGGAACAAGAAGACAAACTACTGATGCATTTGCTATTACAGTACTGCTTGCCACTGTCACATTGGTAGTCGTACGAGCATTTCTTGCCCAATCCACACCGGAAGCGTGCGAACAGGAACAAGAAGAGAAACTACTGATACATATGCTATTACAGCATTGTTCGTTCGATTCACATCAGCAGTCGTACAAACAGCGTGAACAACGCTGTCTGTACAATAGGACCGACGGTAGGAACAATCACTGTCGTAGATGCAGTAGGTAGCACTTCCTAAGTCAAAGAAACAGACGAAAAGAAAGCATAAAAGTTCCATAGGGGCCAATGTCCTTTCACAATTTCAATGGCGTCCTTTCGATGTGGGAACATAATCGCTTGGCTGGTTTCCAAATTCTCTCCAGACACTAAACCATGGAAACCCCCATAGATTGTGGGAAGGGTGCAGGGGAAGGCGAAAGGGAATCGGTAGGGAACGTTGAAGGAGAACAGGAGAAATTCCGGGTTCCCTACATAATTTCGTTGCGGGAATGTTTCAGTACCTTTCAAGTCAGACCAAAGCCAAAATTCAAACAAAAACTCAAACATTAAACAAAGAACCTAAAAACGTCACAAATCTATCAACCCTGTCTTCATTTAATAAAAATACAGACATTCGGAAATATTGACTTACGATAAAGATACCTTTTTATTTTCTTTTAAATGAGTTCTAGTGAGCAGCAAATAGCAACAGATCTTGTCAATTTGATTTGATTCTCCGACTGGATTCGTCTCCTTACACACCTAATTTACAAACTACAAGTTACCTTTCAGCAAGGACGTCAGCAGCGAGAAATATACCCACATAGTGTGCGTACAGATTATCATTGGAATCCATTACATATATTTTTTACGATAAAATTATTTCTTATCTCTCTATAGAATAAATGGAAACATCGATCGTTAACAAAAGCACTAACCCTATGGAGACATATCGATCGAAAAACTAACTGTATATCCGCAAGTATTTGCCGTAATTAGAAGAAATTAAATGACGAGCTTCCGGAAGGTTATTTGTCACGAAATTCGAGTAACGAGAAAATTGAAGCTTATTGTCGAGAAATTGACGATTGGATAAGAATCTTGGGATGGCAATCAGAACTTTTCTCTAAATTCAATCCAATATGGGAACAATTCAATGCGGAGTTACTCTCTACCATGCTTATAAGAGTCTATGTCATTTCTATGTTGACTTGCTTCAGACATCAAGGAACTTGGCCTGTAAGCGGAGCGCCATCGAAACGACTTTTCAATCCTTACTGCTGTAATGTAATTTTTCACCTCAGTTGGGGGATACAGAGATGGACAAGGTCGCAGATGAGTGGGTGGTGCTTGGTTGTAATATTGAGGAGGCTGATTGTTGCGGGTAATGAATAAAGGGGGTAAGTTTTAAAGAGACTGTGGTACTGTGTCGGTGGGAGAGTATAGCAGAGTGTTTAGTATTATCAACTGAGTTGATAACGCAGTTGGTCACTGTAAAAAGTTTAAAAGTTGACGTTTCGAGCGTTAGCCCTTCATCAGAGTGACGTTGTTGCGGCTGTTGGGTGATGATCGCAGCATCGAGTGTACAATGACGTTAGCACGGACAAGAAGCACAGCGTTCTATCTCAAATTACATTACAGCACTAAGGGTTGTATTTATTTCCCGGACAATTATAAGGCTAGAGGCAAATTAAAAGCGTTTCTCTTTAAATTGTAAGTTTAGTTTGGTATTCAACATGCGACCTGACCTTTCCTTTCTCGACGTCTTATCAACGTCGTCACATCCAGCTCTCTTTTGATTATGGTGATTACATCACGCGAACCTCATGACTACGATAGTAAAACATCGCAGTTTTCCTCGCATTTTACTTTTTTGATATGAGCGAACTTGCAATCGTCGAAGTCTCATTCTTTACTGCCAACCCAATTTAGTCAAAACCACCTGAGGTCCATCGCGGCTAGCTCATCATGGCAGTCTCCGGTCTTCGCAGTGAAGCAAGCCTCGGAAATTACATCGACCGCCCTTCGTGTGAACAACTAAGATCTTGCTCTGATATCCTTTCCGATGTGTTGAGTGGAAGGCCACATCAGTCACAGTAGCCGAGTTGTACGGCGTGGTCATCTAGAGCAATCTTTCTGTTCCTGTGAAACACGCGCCATAAGCCGTTTGTCTTCTAATTGTCATGTGGAAAAAAAACTGCGTGCTTTCACGAGCTTCAATTCGGCCGGATTTCACTAAACATTTGACTTTCATATTCTAAAAGAAAGACTAAAAAACTTCAGGTAAACGTGTTAAATTCGACCGGCCGAACTATTTTCTTAGATTGTGTTGATGTTTCGTAGATGTTTGATGATTTCTGTACTTGATGGTTTGACATTTTTGACAACTTTAGTCTTGTTCAACCAATCATATTATTTGAACTACTCATACAAGGATTCTGATTGGCTTGTTGTAGCGTGCGTAATGAAAGTATAGAGCATGCTGACGACATTGTCGTTCTCTTTTGAAATAAAGTTTGTTTTGAAAATTGTAAGTTATGCCTGGGGAATTAATCAGATTCTTATAAAACAAATAGAGAAGCCTTGACTATGCTCTGTTCTGTTATAAAGCACGCAGAAAAGTGGCTAAAGCACTCAAGAAGTGGGGAGCTCTCAAGAAGAGAAACACGAAACGTAGTTGAGTGTTTCTCCTTACAACTATTTCGTTCTCTAGCCGCTTCCGGCATGCTTTACAACAGAACAGAACACAGTCAAGGCCTCTCTATTTGTTAAATCAACGTCAGCACATCCGGTTCTATAAAGACTATTGTAATTACATCCGTGAACCGAATGATTATGATGTAAAACATCGTAGTTTTCCTTGCATTTACTTCTCTGATAAGAGTGAACTTGCAATTTTCGAAACCCCATTCTTCACCGCCGACCCAACTTAGCAAAACCTTCTGCTTTTAGCAGGTTTTGGGTCTCACCAAGCCCAACACGAACTTTAATTTTAAATGGTGTCTGCATCTGCCAATATGATGAAGATGTCCGCTTACTACAAGGTCCTTTTAGACAAAATACGGCAGGAAAATTCGTGATTTAACCAGTTTCTTTTAGCTGATTAATGTCTCCTTAAATAGGTTTCATCGTAGAAAAGCTTTCACCACAAATGCATGATCGGGTTTAAGACTGAAAGCAAAGATGTAACCGTATACATATGTTTTCACCTAGTTGTCTCGATAGATCTCGTCAGTTTTGATGAAAGCAAATCGCTGAAACGCCAATTTCTTCAAAAATCGCCCAGATGAAGATTTCGCCACGCTTCCAGACACAAAGCAAAAATTCGGAATATCCGATGCAAAATTTACTTGCGAACCTGTCACTGAACCTTAAACACGGCGGCGGATTGACAGAAATTTATTATTCAACAAAATACTGACAACACACAAATGAAAATACTGCTCGAAATCGATATAGCATTTGCTGTGGAAGGACCTGGTAAAGATTCGATAACCTTGAGGTAAAATTAGAAAAGTAACAAATCTTCTTGGAGCGGAAAAAAAATTTATTACGTCTGTAAATAAAGCAGCAGCTCAAATATAGTAAAACAAACTTAGCTCATCATACAAAATTTTAAACTGCGTAATTCCCTTACTGAGATGATCAACTTGTCTGCTATACGACACGATCGACATTCGCAATCTTGAACATTTCATGAGCGGAAATGCATTGAAAACTGTCGATGGAACCATAGACTCAGTCAAATACAGCCAGATCAGATTAATATGACACTTAAACTGAAGCTGCATTTCTAAGAATACAATATTCGTTCTGGAAAATTGGTGCAAATGGCCAGACTCATCCTATCTCCAGAAGAATTCTATGTCTACTTTTTGTTTTTCTTTGAACAACAAAGGCGAAATAGATTTTTAAATTTGCAAATATACAGCGGCTAGTCATGGCTAAGATTAATAGAAGTTAATTTAAGATTACAGAACCTATTCCCTAACTTATACTTTAAGTTAAATTAAACTGATAACATTTAGTAACTTGACTACGTTTACATCTATGCAAATGAAAAATATAAACGTTATTTATTTCACAGGAACAGTAATGTGCTCTGAGAAGTTACCTTGCAGATTACTTTAATTACATCTCGTTCGGTTGTTTGGCATTTATTTTAACTGGCATCGGCGCCGGCTGAGCTTGTTCCGGCGGTGGAGGATATTGGTTTGTTGGTGGTGGATAACTTAAGTAGGCCGGAGGAGCTTGACCGACTCCTGGAGGAAGCTGATCGCAACCAGCTGGAGGAGGCTGGTTATAACCAGCTGGAGGAAGCTGGTTATAACCTGCTGGAGGAGGCAGGTTGTATCCTTCTGGAGGAGGCTGGTTGTAGTTCACCGACGGAGGAGCATGTACTTGTTGCATCGTCATCATGTGGTTTGAGGCCATTCGTTGGTGCGGCTGTCGACCTGTGCCGACTGCAGCACTGGGTGTACGATAGCGGTAGAACGGGCAACAAGCGCAGAAGCAGCAGGATACGATGGAAACGATGATGACGAAGAAGATAATCGTGCCGATAACTGCGCCTGTAATATACCAGCCGCTCCAACCACAGTTTGTGGAACAAACTCCCCCACAACAATCCTCTCCACTATCACACTGTTCGTCGGACGAACAGGAATGGCAAGAAGACGAACTACTGATGCATTTACTATTACAGCATTTCTTGCTCGATCCACATTCGTAGTCGCTCGTGCAGGAATGACAAGAAGACGAACTACTGATGCATTTGCTATTACAGCATTTCTTGCCCCATCCACATTCGTTGTCGCTCGTACAGCAAGAATACGAACAGATGCTGTTACAGCATTCCTCGTTCAATCCACATTCGTCTTTGGACGTGCAGGAACAAGACGACAAACTTCTGGTGCATTTGTGCTTACAGCATATCTCACCCCGTCCACACATGGATTCATGCGTACAGAGACAAATATCGGAACTTCTAGCACACGTGTTACCACAGCATTTCTCGTTCGATCCACAATAATAGTCGTTGCGCCCACAGCCATTACAACGCAGTCTACATACTTTATCAGGACAACAGTTCCGGTTCTTACCGGAGCAATCACTTTGACGGGTACAGTTGGTAGCACTTCCCAAGGCAGAGAAGCAGACGAAAAGAAAGCACAACAGTTCCTTAGTAGCCATTGTCCTTTCACGATTTCAATGGCGTCCGTTCGACTTAAGATAATAATTAGATGCGGTTTCAAATTCTCTCCAGATTCTTTACCATGGAAACCCTTATAGATGGTGGGAAGGTGAAAGGGAAAGGAAAGGAAAATCGAAAATGAGAAGTTGAAGGGGAAAAAAGAAAAATGCTGTTACCATACATAATCTCGTAACGGGGATGGTTTAATACCTTTCAAGTCAGGCCAAAGCTAAAATGAAATATTGAACAAAGAACCAAGAAACATAAAAAATCTGTCGACCCCATGGTCATTCAAGAAATCGCAGTCATTCGTAAATATTGATCTCCGATAAAGATACATCCTTTTACATTTCTTTTTAATAAGTGCTTGTGAGCAGCAAACAACAACAGAAAATGTCAACTTGATCCATCTTCTCCCAGAGGTTTTTTCTGATCACACAGACTTCATGAGGGAGTTTGAACAAGATGGTTTAAAGGAACTTATTACATACCTTATTTTCAAAGTAATAGTCACGTTCCAATAAGGGCGTGAACAGCGAAGGAAATCGAAATACGAAAAGAAAAACCGAACGTCTAGCGGCTGAAAACGAAAATCGACAACTGGAAGATTTGCCACAGGCCGATTTAGGCCATGTACCTGTAAGATTTCTTCTGTCGGTAAGGCCCAATTCAAGAACCGAGAATTTCGTTTGTTGAAAAATAGGCTCATTGTTGTTGTTTTTTTTTTAGTGATTCAACACGTGTTTTCATCTTGAGTGCGTCAGTGGATATTTTTATTCGGAGATTTTCGATCCTTTTATTTTCACTCATTACTAAAGTTCACTTTTCTTGTCAGTAATGGGCAATTATGTTTATATGATAAAAAAAAAAGAATACATGTTTGCTTGTGGAAATGGAATATCTCTTCTCGTGTTCAACTTGACATCTCACTCGCGAGCTATCGGGTTCAACACTCGAAGAGAAATTCCATATCTACACCCACCTATGCACTATTCTCTATTCGTCATATAAACAACAGCGTTATACAAGGATTTCCATCCCTGAGAAAAGCCGTAACAACACACGAGAACAAATACGATATTTTTTCACGTGTGTTTGATATCGCCAATCAGATACTGACACGTCACTCACCTTTGGCGTCACTCGGTCAGGCTGATGAATAAACGGCAAACCCTGCACCATTCTCACTTCAGGGTTGTTTGTCAGAACATCTTCGGATTCCGGCTGCTAAAACACTAGGGAAAATTTAGTTTTATGAGGATATGAGAGACCTCGAAACAAACATAGTGTACAGGATATTTGACTATCTTTGTAGAATTCACCTAATGAACCCTCGATATCCGTTTTCCTTAAAATAGCATGCCAGTAAATCCTAATGTTCATTGGAACAGGTAAAAGAATGGATGTGCACGTTTATGAAACTGAATTTGCCAATTTTGGTATGCAGTTTTGCAGATGGATAATATGTTTCAAACAGTCCATTTCTATCTGATAACGAAGGCCACATTCGCTTTCTTCCAGCTTGAATTTTGGGAGATTTGCTTGACGCTCAAAGCTCTCGCCAAATGTAGCCTTTTGGACTTCTTTAAAGTTGTTTAAGTGATTGTTTGCATTTCCAAGGTCCTTATCTAAGGATACTCGTTCTGTGTTACACATAAATAGCCAGAGTAAACGCCTGTAGGCGTCTAGTTTATCCTTCAGTTGTAATGGTTGAATAACAAAGCGATGTAAATAAATTCAGTGCGATTTCTAAACATTTATAGTAGTCAAATAATCCGCATTATTGTAGGAGTTAAGTTTTAGTTAGGAATAAATGCTTTCCAACTAGAATTATTTCACTAGGAACACGGAAGCCCAGGGAGGAGAGCGTATCTGAGATTTAAAGTTTTCAGCCAAAGTTACAGGCAAAGTACGCGAAATGTAAAGGCCAACTGCTCGAAGGGGAAGGTGCAAACTGAAAGATTTAACTCAAAGCGGCTATGTGTTTGCCTTCATTTCCATCCAAAATTAGATCAACAGTAAGGGTTGCAGTTATCTCATGGACAATTATAAATCTGGAGGCAAATTAAAAGCGTTTTTCTTTAAATTGTAAAGTTTAGTTTGGTCGATTCAACATGCTTTCTGACCTTTCTCAACGCCGACACATCCGGCTCTATTATGATTGTGGTAATTACATAACGCGAACCTCATGTCTATGACTGTAAAACAGCGCAGTTTTCCTCGAATTTTATTTCTCTGATACGAGCGAACTTGAAATTGTCGAGACCTCATTCTTCACTGCCAACCCAGCTTAGTAAAACCATCTGCTTGTTGCAGGTTTTGAGTCTCACTAAGCCCAACTTCAAATAGTGTCTGCATCTGCCAATATGATGAAGATGTCCGCCAAATACAAGGTCCTTTTTAGACTAAATGTGGTGAGACAAAAATTGGAACTTAACCGCTTTCTTTTGGCTGATTTATGTCTCCTTTATCAGGTTTCACCGTAGAAGAGCTTTCGCGACAAATGCATAATTAGGTTTAATACTGAAAGCAAAGATGTAACCGTATACAAATGTTTTTACCTGGTTTTTTTCTCGACAGATCTCGTCAGTGTTAATGAAAGCAAAATTGCCCAAAACGCCAACTTCTCAATAAATCGTTCAGATGAAATTTTCGTCACGTTTACAAGCACAAGGAAAGAGTTGAGAATATCCAATGTAAAATTAGCTTGCGAACCGGTCATCTGCATATTAAACCAAACCTTACACACGGCGGCGGATTAACGGAAATTTCTTATTCAACAAAATAGTGACAACAAACAAATGTAAATGCTACTTAACACAGCATTTGCTGTGGAAGGATCTGCTAAAGATTCGATCAGCTTAAGGTAGAATTAGAAAAAGTAATAACTGTCTCTGAAGAAGAAAATAATTACTCATGTCTGTAAATAAGGTGGCAGCTCAAATATAGTAACATTCTATTAAGAAGATAATCAATTTGACCGCTTTACGACACGATCGACACTGAACATTTCTTAAACATATCACAAGCGTAAATAGATTGAAAACTGCATGGACTGGTTTAATGTGATACTTAAAGTGTAAACTGCATTCCTAAAAATACAATACTCATTCTGGAAAATTGATCCAAATGGCCGGACTCAACAATCTCCAGGAGATATCTGTGTCTTCTTGTTTTTCTTTGAACAATGAAATAGATATTCAAATTTGTAAATATACAGCGTGCAGATCATGGCTAAGATTAGGAGCAGTTAATTTAAGATTGGAGATCCTTTTCCCTAACTTATAGCTGGTTATAACCTGCTGGAGGGGGCTGGTCGTATCCATTTAAAGGAGGCGGATTGTAGTTCACCGAAGGAGGAGCATGTATTTGTTGCGTCGTCATCATGTCGGTGAGACGATTTGTTGTTGTGGCTGTTGGCCGGTTACGACCACAGTACTGGGTGTACGACAGCGGTAGTACGGGCAAGGAAAACAGCAGCAGGTGACGATGGAAATGATGATAGCGAAGAAGATAGTCGTGCCGAGAACAGCATCTGCAATAGCTGCGCCGCTCCGACCACAGTATGAGGAACAAACTCCCCCACAACAATCCCCTCCAGTATCAAACTAGTCGTCGGACGAACAATAACAAGAGGACGAACTTCTGATGCATTTGCTTTTACAGCATTTCTTTCTCGATCCACATTGGTAGTCGTACGTGCAGGAACAAGAAGACGAACTACTGATGCATTTGCTATTACAGTAATACTCGCCACTGTCACATTGGTAGTCGTATGTGCAGGAACAAGGAGACGAACTACTGATGCATTCGCTTTTACAGCATTTCTTGCCCAATCCACACTGGAAGCGAACGAAACAGGAACAAGAAGAGAAACTACTGATACATATGCTATTACAGCATCGCTCGTTCAATCCACATTAGCAGTCGCACGAACAGCGGGAACAACGCTGTCTGCAGACTTTATCTCTACAACAGGACTGACTGTAGGAACAATCACCGTCGTAGATACATCAGGTAACACTTCCCAAGGCTAAGAAACAGAGGAAAAGAAAGCATAAAAGCTCCTCAGGGGCCATTGTCCTTTCCCAACTTCAATGGCGTCCGCTCGAGGTCGGACAATAATCACTTGGCTGGTTTCCAAATTCTCTCCAGACACTTTACCATGGAAACTCCCATAGATGGTGGGAAGGGTGCAGGGAAAGGTGCAAGGGAAGGGGAAAGGGAATCGATAAGGGAAATTGAAGGGGAATAGGAGAAATTTTGTTACCCTACATAATTACGTTATGGGAATGTTTCAGTACCTTTCAAGTCAGACCAAAGCTCAAATTCAAACAAAAGCTCAAACATTGAACAAAGAACCTAAAAACGTCGTAAATCTGTCTACCCTGTCTTCATTTAGGAAAAATACAGACATTCGTAAATATTGATCTACGATAAAGATACCTTTCTATTTTCTTTTAAATGAGTTCTAGTAAGCAGCAAACAGCAACAGATCTTTTCAACTTGATTTGTTTCTCCGACTGGATTCGTCTCCTTACACACCTTATTCACAAACTGCAATTTACGTTCCACCGGGCGTCAGCAGCAAGAAATATACCCACATAATGAACGTGCGGGATATCATTGGAATCCTGCAAGATGTTGAGTTTAATTTTGGGGCTCTCGGATTTAACGTTGAGTTGGACGGGGGTGGTATGTTCGAAAGGGATACACTTTTATGCAGATTTCGAGGTGCGAGCTTACACGAGATGAGCTTCAGTTACAAGGAAACTTTTAAGCGCGGGAAAAAGTGAATGCTAAGTTGTGGTTGGTTTAAGTTATGGATCTGGTGAAAATTTAGTTTTTCCAACGAAAAATTAACTTTACTTCCGTAGGCATCCGCCCTAGATAGAGCAAATTAGATGACCAACATCCGGGTAGCTTACTTTGCTTCGAACTTCCGCGAAGATTGCTTGTCACGCAAGCCGAGTAACGAAGCCTATTGTCAAGAATGCGGCGATGGTATAAAGAATTCACTCCAAAAGAATATTTTGACGTTACAATACACCAAAATTAGTTACCTGACATTGATGAAATTGTGACTTTGTTTCTGAATAAAGTTCGCTTCAGAATATTTTTTTAAATTCATTTTTTTAAAGACAAAAATCATTTTTTAGCTCTCTTTAGAATAAATAGAAACATCGGAAACAAAGGCAATAACTCTTTGGAGACATATCGAGCGAAAAACTAACAGTATTTCCGCAAGTAACCGCCATAATTGGGAGAAATTAAGTGACGAACTTCCGGAAAGATTACTTGTCACGCAAATCGACTGACGAGGAAATTGAAGCTTATTGTCGAGAAATCCATGATTGGATAAGAATCTTGGGATGGCAATCATAACTTTCTTCTAAATTCAATCCAACATGGGAACAGTTCAATGCAGGGTTACTCTCTATCACGCTTATAGGAGTCTATGTCATACATGAATACGTCACTTAACAAGAGTTGCTGTTTATTTCTATGTTGACTTGCTTCAAACATCTAAGTGCTTGACCCGTAAGCGGAGCGCCATCGAAACGACTTGTCATTGTACCTCGGATGGAGGATAGAGAGGTGGATAAGGCGGCAGATAAGTGGGTGGTGCCTGGTTGTAACCTTGAGGAGGCTGATTGTACCCTACAAGAGGCTGCTTGTCATGAAGCGACGGAGGAGCTTGTACTGGCGACGTCATCATCCTATGCGTGTGCGTTAGGACGAACAGTTGTTGCGGCTAATGAATTAAGGGGGTAAGTTTTTAAAGAAACTGTGGTGCTGTGTCGGTATAGATAGTCATTCATACATGATAAAAGCCCCTCCGTGCATACGTCTTCCTAAACCTCATTACCATGTTATTAAGAAGCTCTCATAAGCGGCAGCACTTCGTGGCTAAAGGCTCCTCTTACGCGATCTTTTCGCCTCGTTCTCGCTCATTTCGGAGATCAAGCTCTCCCTATTTGCTTTTTTGTTTGTTTTTTTTTTTCTGTTTTAGCTACCTTAAAATTCTATTTAAAATTCCTAAAAAGTTCTCAATAAGTTACCTTCAGTCTTATTCATACTTGTAATGATTTAATAGTAAAACGATACAAATTAACTCAGAGCGATTTCGAAACATTTATAGTAGTCAAGTAATCCGCATTATTGTAGGAGTCAGGTTGTAGCTAGGAGTAAACGCTTTCCAATTAGAATTATATCTCTAAGAACATGGAAGCCCGGAGGGGAGAGCTTATCTGAGATCTAAAGTTTTCAGCCAAATTTACAGGCAAAGTGCGCGAAATGTAAATGCCAGCCACTCGACGGGGAAGGTGCAATTAATTCAACTCAAAGCTATGCGTTTGCCTTCAGTTCTAACGCAAATTAAGGCTGGAGGCAAATTCAAAATGCTTTCTGACCTTTCTCAACGGTCTTATCAACGTTTACACATCCGGCTCTATTATGATTATTGTAATTACATTACACGAACCTCACAACTATGATTGTAGAACATTGCCGTTTTCTTTGCATTTTACTTCTCTAATAAGAGTGAAATTGCAACTGTCGAAACCTCTTTCTTCACTGCCGACCCAATTCAGTAAAACCATCTATGGTCCATCCCGGCTGTCTCATCATGGCGATCTCCGGTCTTCGCAGTGTAGCAAGCCTCAGAAATTATATCGGCCACCCAACGAGTAAACAACTAAGATCTTGCTTTGATATCCTTTCCGATGCGTTGAGTGGAAGGCTGCAGCAGCCACAGTAGCTTAGTTGTACGGCGCTGTCATCTAGAGCAATATTTCTGTTCCTGTGAAACACGAGCCTTGTATTCTGTATAAGAGACTAAAAAAAATCAGGCAAACGTGTTGAATTCCACCCGCCGAACTATTTTGTTTTGTAAAGTATTGCATATTTTGATGTTTGATGATTACTGAACTTTGATGGTTTGATATTTTTGACAGCTTTAGTCTCGCTCAACCAATCAGGTTATTTGACCAATTCTGACAAGGATTCTGATTAGCTTACTGAAGCGTGCTTAATGAAAGTATAGAGCATACTCACGACACTGCTGTTTGCAAATTAAGTTTGTTTTTTGAATTGGAAGTAATGCGTGGGAATAGAAAAGCCTTGACTGTGCTCTGTTCGGTCGTAAAGCACTTAGAAAGGCGGCTAGAGCTCTCAGGAGGTGGGGAGAAACACGAAACGTAGTTGAGTGTTTCTCCGTATACTTCTTTCGTGCTCTAGTCGCTTGCTGTGTGCTTTACAACAGAACAGCGCACAGTCAAGGCCTCTCTATTTGTTAAATCAACGTCAACACATCCGGCTCTGTAGAGACTATGGTAACTAAATCACGCGAACCTCAGGACTATGATAGTAAAAAACCTCAGTTTTCCTTGCACTAGCTTCTCTGATAAGAGCGAACTTGCAATTGTCAAAACCTCTTTCTTCATTGCCAACCCAACTTAATAAAAACCATCTGCTTCTAGCAGGTTTAGGGTCTCACAAAGCCCAACTTGAATGTTAATTTCAAATTGTGTCTGCATCTACTAATATGATGAAGATGTCCGCCTACTACAACGTCCTTTTAGAATAATACGGCAGGAAAAATTCGTGATTTAGCCGGTTTCTTTGAGATGATTAATGTCTCCCTCATCATTTTTCATCGTAAAAAAGCTTTCCGACAATTGCATGATTAGGTTTAATACTGAAAGCAAAAAATGTAACCGTGTACGTATGTTTTCACCCGGTTGGTCTCTCGAAAGATCTCGTCAGTGTTGATGAAAGTAAATCGCCCAAACGCCAATTTCTCAACAAATCGCTGAGATCAAATATAAGTCATGTTTACAAGCGCAAAGAAAAAGTTCGGAATATCTGATGTAAAATTCACTTGCGAACCGGTTACCTGCATAAAAAACTAGACCTTACTACAAAGATTATCCATTTAACCGCTATACGACACGATCGACATTGGCAATCTTGAAAATTTCATAAGTACCTTGAAAACTGTCGACTGAAGCATAGACTGGGTTAAATACAGCCAGATGGGTTTAATATGACACTAAAAATGTAACTACATTTCTAAGAATACAATATTCATTGTGGAAAATTAATGCAAATAACCAGACTCATCTCTCTCCAGAAGAAATCTGTCTCTAGCTTTTGTTTTTCTTTGAACCTCAAAGGCGAGATAGATGGTCAAATTTGCAAATGTACGGCGTGCAGATCCTGCCGGCTAAGAATAGTATAAGATAATTTAAGATGAGAGAACCTATTCCCTAACTTAAATCTTTAAAACTATCCTTAAAAAAAATACACGGATAACATTTAGTAACTTGACTACGTTTATATCCATGTAAATGGAAACTATAAACCAAAAGTACTTATTATTTCACCGGAAGAGTGATGTGCTTGGAGAAGTTCCCTTGCAAGTTACTATAATTACATCTCGTTCGGTTGTTCGGTGTTTACTGCTGCTGGCATCGGCGCCGCTTTCGCTTATTCCAGGCGCTGGAGCATATTAGTTTGTTAGTGGTGGACAGCTTGAGTGAGGCGGAGGAGCCTGATTGAAACCTGGAGGATGCTGGTAGTAACCAGCTGGAGGAGACTGGCTGTAACCTGTTGGAGGAGGCTGGTTGTATCCATCTGGAGAAGGCGGGATGTAGTTCAACGGCGGAGGAGCATGTACTTGTTGCGTCGTCATCATGTGGGTTGAGACCATTTGTTGTTGCGGTTGGCCGGTGACGACCACAGTACCGGGTGTACGATAGCGGTAGTACGGACAACAAGCACAGCAGCAGCAGCAGGATACGATGGAAATGATGATGGCCAAGAGGATAATCGTGCCGATAATAGCGCCTGCAATAGCTCCACCGCTCCAACCACAGTATGAGGAACAAACTCCCTCACAACAATCCTCTCCAATGTCACATTCGTAGTCGTACGTGCAGGAACAAGAAGACGATTTACTGATGCATTTGCTATTACAGCACTGCTCGCCACTGTCACATTGGTGGTCGTATGAACAGGAACAAGAAGACGAACTACTAATGCATTTTTTATTACAGCATTTCTTGCCCCATCCACATTGGTTGTCGTACGAACAGGAACAAGAAGAGGAACTACTGATACATATGCTATTACAACATTGTTTGTTCGATCCACATTGGTAGTCATACAAACAGGTAGAACATTGCCGTCTACAAACATTATAGGCACAACATTTCTTATCAATGGAACAATCACTGTCGTAGTTACAGTGGGTAGTACCTACCAAGGCAAAGAAAGAGACGAAAAGAAGACATAAAAGTTCCTTAGAAGCCATTGTCTTCTCACAATTTCAATTGCGTGTGTTCGATGTGAGGAAATAATTAGATGAATTAGATGCGGTTGGCCCAACTTGAATTTTAATTTCGAATAGTGTCTGCATCTATCAATATGATGAAGATGTCCGCCAAATACAATGCCCTTTTAGACTGAATATGGCAGGACAAAATCGGGATTTAACGTGCTTGTTTTAGTTGATTAATGTCTCCTTCATCAGGTTTCATCAAAAGCTTTCGCGACAAATGCATGATTAAGTGTAACTATATTTCTAAGAATACAATATTCATTATGGAAAATTAATGCAAATAACCAGACTCATGCATCTGTCTCCAGAAGAAATCTGTCTCTAGCTTTTGTTTTTCTTTGAACCTCAAAGGCGAAATAGATAGTCACATTTGCAAATGTACAGCGTGCAGATCCTGCCGGCTAAGATTAGTGTAAGTTAATTTAAGATGAGAGAACCTATTCCCTAACTTAAACCTCAGTTTTATTGTGCCGGATAGTGTGCAAAATTCTCACAACGCACAAAAAAAGGAAAAAAACGTCCCTATTGGCTGGTCAAAAATATGCCACATTTTATACTATGGTATGAGCGAGAACATTTGATCCAGTTAACCGATAACTGTGAATGAAAAGCTCAAAATTTAAGGGGAAAATGCTAAAATCAAAAAGCTAAATGAACTCAAGTGTCACTGGAAAATGTTTTGAAAGTCAAAGACCCGAAGTTATCAAGAGTTTTAATTGTTCAAAATAATGTTTACGCTGCCGTACATGGTGCAATCGGAGAAAACTTGCAACAAAATGCTCACGTCATCTTATTCACGCACGCCCGTGCGTAAATAAAGATTTTGTTCATAGCGGTTCGATAGGACTTATATAGGGCAAGCACGCGCGCTACGTTATAAACAGTTCTTACCAATGAAACAATCACTGTCGTAGTTACAGTAGGTAGCACCTCCCAAGGCAAAGAAACAGACGAAAAGAAGACATGAAAGTTTCTTAGAAGCCATTATCCTTTCACAATTTCAATGGCGTGTGTTCGATGTGAGGAAATAATTAGATGAATGAGATGCGGTTGGCTGATTTTCAAATTCTCTCCAGATACTTTACCATGGAAACCCCCAAAGGGGTGATGGGTGGTGGGAAAGGGACAGGGGAAGGGGAAAGGGAATCGGAAGGGTAAGCTGAAGGGAAAGGGGAGAAATGCTGTTACCATGCATAATCTCGTAACGAGTATGGTTCAATACCTTTCAAAACCAAAAGTTCCGGATTCAGTGGCTTTGGTAATATCATTTCTCCAGGCTGTCAAAGAAAACCGACACCAGCATTCTGTTAACCCCGTAGGTCATTCCAAAAAAATAAAAATAGTCTTTTATATATGATAAAAATTCCTCCGTGCATTAGCCCACCAAGTCATTACGAGGCTCTCATAAGCGGCAGCACTTCGTGGTTACAGGCTCCTGTAAGACAAAGAAATATTACTTGGAGATCAAGCTGCCCTTATTTGCTCGTTTGTTTTTCTCTGTTTTAGCTGAATGATAATTCTATTTAAAATCCCTAACAATCCTTCAGTCTTATTACTCGGGCTATGCAGGTAGGCTGAGTCTAGGTTTCAGTGTCCTTTCTATCCATCTATCGACAACGTCGAAAGTGTGTAAGCCTGCATTGCTCGAGGGTCTGCGGTATTCCTTTGCAAGTATGAAAGCGAAGCAACCGTGAAACCGGGGTGGCTGACGATAAAACTTGGAACTTGGTTTGCTCTTCCTAGGTCTCTTTGCTCTCTGCCTCTGGTGGTGCGAAGCTTGATTGAAAATCATGAATAATTGCTTCCCTTCTGGAACGCTTAAAGTACTTACAAACGCACACGCCATTCGCGGTAGACCCATACTAAAAGATATCGAGCGTCAGCTTCAAAACGGGTCGTTCCGCCAACCAAAGAAATGCCATAACAATGCCAAAATTACTCAAAACAATGCTAAGGGCAATGTCAAAAACAATGCCAAAGATACTCAAACGAAGGGACTTTAATAAGAAGGGACTTCACTGAGGAATGCTCAGAGGAAAAAGTCAGAGAAAATATTCCAAGGAACATGAACGCCATATTTGAATTTTTCATTTAATGCGTTAACAGAACCAAGAAACCTTGGACTTATATCGGTGACAATAAGGATTAGTTTTTTACTAGTTGTATTGTTTTTCTTAACGACGTTAAACAGTTTCTTCAACAGGCTATCGTTTGTTCAACTATCACCAGCTAGCCTGTTGATTATATCACTATAATACCTTAAGCTTATACCGCTTATTTCAATGAGGTATAGTGTATCATCATACCTTTACAATACCTTCAAGGTTTTAAGCTCCGTTAATGTTTATGTTGTTATGATACGAGTAATTAATTATTGAACTCGTCATGACCATGTCATTTGAAATTTATATAGATAAAAATAATCCTGCACAGATATAATTACCCTACACCCTCAAGCATCTAGGCTCGGTTTATGTTTATTCTTTTATGATAAGTGTAATTAATGATTGGATCCACATGTCAATTGAAATTTCTATAGATTACTTGCACAAATTTGAGTAAACTGTACCATCAAGTATCTAAACTCGGTTAAACATAGTATACATGATATTTGAATATCTTTGTAAAATTGACCTAATGAACCCTTGATTTCCGTTTCCTTTGAATTAGCATACCAGTAAATCCTAATGTTAATTGAAAGAGATAAAAGGTATGCCATGTCAGGCAACAAATGTGAAAAAAGCAGCGGATATGCATGTTTTTGAGGGTGAAAATTTGCCAATTTTTGGTATATAGATTTGCAGATAGATAATATGTTTCAAACATTCTATTTCTATCTGATAACAAAGGCCACATTCACTTTCTTCAAGCTTGAATTTTGATATTCAAAGATGCTCTTACTGTGTCACACATAAGCCGGGGTAACGCCTCTAAGCGTCCAGTTTATCCTTCAGTTGTAATGGTTGAATAACAAAGTGATATAAATTAATTCAATTTGATTTCGAAACATTTATAGTAGTCAAATAATCCGCATTATTGTAGGAGTTAGGTTGTAGTAAAAGCCAGCCACTCGACGGGGGAAGTGCAAACTGAAAGATTATTATGAATGAAACTAAGCTATGCGTTTGCCTTCAGTTATATCCAAACCTAGATCAACAGTAATGATTGTACAATTTCATGGACAATTATAGGGCTGGAGGCAGATTAAAAACGTTTCTCTTTCAATTTTACAGTGTAGTTTGGTATTCAACATTCTTTCTGACCTTTCTCAACGTCTTATCAACGTCGACGCATCCGGCTCTGTTATGATTATGGTAATTACATCACGCGAACCTCATGACTATGACTGTAAAACATCACAGTTTTCGTTGTATTTTATTTCTCTGATACAAGCGAACTTGCAATTGTCGAAACTGCATTCTTCACTGCCAACCTAGCATAGTAAAACCAACTGCTTGTAGCACGTTTTAGGTCTCACAAAGCCCCGCTTCAAATAGTGTCTGCATCTGCCAAATGAACATGATGAAGATGTCCGCCAAATACAAGGTCCACTTATTGAAGGACAAAATCGGGATTTAACCGGTTTCTTTTAGATGATTAATGTCTCCTTCATCAGTTTTTATCATAGAAAAGCTTCCGCGAAAAATGCACGATCAGGTTTAATTCTGGAAGCAAAGTTGTAACCGTATACAAATGTTTTCACCTGATAAGTCTCAAAAGTCACTTTCTCAAGAAATCGCTCAGATGAAATTTTCGCCACGCTTACAGGCACAAAGTAAAACTTCGGAATATCCGAAGTAAAATTCATTTGCGAACCGGTTACTTGCATATCAAACTGAATCTTACACTCGAAAGAGGACTAAAAAGAATTGATTTTTCAAAAAAATTGTGACAACACACAAATGCAAGTAGTGCTTGAAATCGACAGAGCATTTGCTGTCGAAGGATCTGCTATAGATTCGATCAGCTAAAAATAGAAAATGAAAAAAGTAACAAATCTACCTGATTACTCACGTCTGTAAATAAGGGAACAGCTGAAATAAAGCAAATCAGTTATGAGCATTATGAGCTCGGTTGGATCATCCAACCGAGCTCATAATACCAACTTTTGACCTGTGTCATTCTATCACTAAGATTATCGTTTTGACTGCTATACGACACGACTGACATTCGTGAAACTACAATTCTAAGAATACAAAATTCATTCTGGAAAATCGATGCTAATGGCCGGACTCATCTATCTCCAACAAAAATCCTCTCCACAAGAAATCTGTGATACTTTTTGGTTTTCTTTGAAAGACGATGGTAAAATGGGTGTTCGAATTTGCAAATATACAGCGTGCATATCATGACGAAGATAAATATAATTTCATTTAAGATTACAGAACCTATTCCCTAACTTATACTTCTAAAACTATCCTTAGAAAATCTTACACAACATTTTGTAACTTGACTACGTTTACGTCTATTTAAATGGAAAATATAAACCAAAGGTTATTTATTTCACCGCAACGGTGATCTGCTCGCAAAACTTGCCTTGTACATTACTTTAATAACATTTCGTTCGGTTGTTAGGTGTCTACCACAGCTGGCATCGGCGCCACTTTAGCTTGTCTAAGCGGTGGAGAATATTGGTTTGGTGGTGGTGGACAACTTGAGTTAGACGGAGGAGTCTGAATTAAACCTGGAAGAGTCTGGTCGTATCCATTTGGAGGAGGCTGGTTGTAACATGGTAGGGGAGGCTGGTTGTAGTTCAACGGCGG